ATATATATATATAATGAAGTTGACATCTCTCTTCTCCTTTCCTGACTTCATGCCTTCCCTATTGGCTAGTTAATTGATGGGTGGTCTTTTTGACCAAACATTTTAGCTTTTAGAGTCTGGAGGGGGCAGAGCCAGACTTTTATAGTAAAAGTTGCTACATACCTTGGCTGCCTACTGTATATTTCTGTCTCTACTATCATTTTAGGGTAGTCCACTACGGTGCATTTGATGCATGCTCATTAATGTCCCTTGCCCCTTGACCAAATCTGCAGCATTTCTGCTAGCACATTGTACTGCCACACCATTCACAATGAATGGTACCACAGCGCTGCAATGTACATAACATGCATTACCACAGCCCTGTCCTCTAAATGGGCACTAAGCCACTAAATGTCATCATAAGCTCAGTGTAAATTGTTCTGATTTGAGAGTTTTACTTTAATGAACATGTTAAAAGAGCAGCGATAATTTGCAGTATAGTCACCCTACAATAACAAAGTTCCTAGTTTTATGAAATTAGGAGAGTCAGAATGTAACAGGATGAATGATTATTGGTTACCATAGGTGACTGCACTTTGTATAACCAAAGCAGTTCTTTGCTAAAGCTTCTCCAAAATACCATAAAGGTCTGTTTTTTCGCCATAATCCTGTCTTTTGATTTACTCTAACACCTCCTTGTTTACATTTAATAAGATATTTTGATCTTCTTGCTTGCTACATTTCTCAAATATTCGCACGTTTTATCTCCCCTGCTGCTCAGTCAGCATAATATAGATTATTTTGCGTTAGAACAGAATAAATACAACCTCCCACATACCAATTCAACTAAATAAAACAGCCATAGCAAGCTGGGGTTTATTAATATAAATTAAAGCTAATTCAATTGTATTAGTGTAGCCAAAGTATGCAAATGGTTTTTATTTTTTACCCTGACTTAGAAATATGATAAATTCGATTGGCTGGTATGAGAAACTCCTCCTTTTTTTCCTTGGCGCCTGTGTTAATAAATACCACAAATTTCCTTGGCGCCTGTGTTAATAAATACCACACACGCTTTTTATCCAATCAGTGGTCTAACTAATAAACTGCCTGTAAAATGCTATAAGGGACTAGCTTGCTGTCTCCTATGGCAGGAAAAGGGTAAAGTCATTTTGCAATGCTTTGTTGGGCCCTCTGGCAGAGGAGAAGTTAGTTATTTGTGCCAAGGTGAAATACGTGTCTCTCTCTAGAACAAAGCATTACAGAAAACCATATATATCATGTCCCTGCCTCCCTCTCTCTCTTTCGTTCAAGCCCCCTGTTTACTGGTGCATGTCCTTTCTGTGCTTACGCAAAAAAGATAAAGTACAGAGCATTTCAAAGTGTTTGCAGTGAAGCTCACAGGGATTTAACTCTTGTGCGCACAGTCTACCTACTTATAGCTGGCCATTTAGGTCGTGAGTGGAAAAACAACACCGTGATCATTAAATGAAAAGAATGTCTTTCTCTGCAGAATAATCAAGAGCTGATTTACAGTTTGGTGGGTTCACACTGTGCAAGTTCAACTGCCAGTCTTTTGTCAGCATCACCCTGGTTTCTACCCTGCACCCAACATTTTGTTCTAATACTATTAGTGTTGCAGTTTATAACTGTGCTTCAATAATTCCATTGTGGCTAAGTAATTTGTACCTTTGATCTCCACCAAGCAAGCAATCTCCATAAAGTTAATATGTTCTGTGTGTGTGTGTGTGGGCTGATCCAAAAACATGGTAAGTAATTGGCTTCCACATAAGGTGTGCGTGTGTCAACCTATGGCAAGGTGAAAAGTTTGTAAGCTCCTTTTGAAGGCACAGAATGTAAATGGTTCATTGTTTTTTCCTGGGAACAAAATGGACAGTGTTATGTAAATGACTACAATAAAAAAAAATGATAACAATTGGAAATTTACACAAACTAGGCCCTTGTCTAGGGTAGAGTTGCACATTGGGCACTACATTAATCCTCTGTTAATTTTAATGTATATCTAGAGGTACATTTTGCTTCTCATTTCATGTCGTGTCTCCAGGAGGTGGGGAAAAACCTCACCAGACACACACAGACTGCAAAATAAAACAAAATGAAATTAACTATAACCCACTTTACCCAGAACTTAAAAAAACAGAGATTGAGACATTAGACATACTTTAATCACTTTCCCTAACACACATCTCAACCATGGGCTAATATATTAAATGAAAGACAGACACTCCTGATGAGCGGGTCTAGATTTTCATTATAGAGTGCTCCAGTATTCAGGGCTCCCTGGGTATTACATTTGAAAGCTCAACTATTGGGCATGCACCTTCAGACTTCTATTATAGCATACAAGTGTTTAAATATTATTCTGACTATAAGTTTTCTTTAAAGAAGTTTTCCATCTTTTTCTATAATAGTATAACTCCTGCCAGTCCAAGATAACAGCAGAGGCTGACTTTATCAGTCTTTTGTTAAACATCTATTCTGTTTCTATTCTAGTCTGTTCTGGCTGCATCAGTTTTCACAATTATGGCTGAACATGGAAAAGTATAATGTGCCACAAAGAATTGCAGTTTAAGTACTTGTGAACTCTTTCTACATTACATTAAAGCATATCTACACCTAAGAACCAAAATGTAATCTATAGCTAACTAGCCCTTAGATGCAGTGGCTACATTATCTCCTTTTGCCTTTATTTTCACCTGGTAATTGGGTCAGTAACATACCCCCTGTCTTAAGGTGGCTACCCTTACTCCTCCACTGTATCTTTGGAAGGGCAATGTAGCCACTCTTGGGCAGCAGCATTGCAAACCTGTGAGGATAGTTGCAGATGAACTAGTAGATTTAGATGAACTTTACGTACGTTGAAAATGATTTAGTAAATTACTTTAGTAAATTGAAGATGAACTCCAACTAAAACTTTTTAAGCATTTACAGAAACAGTTTTTCTTTTGGGAAAAATAAATTAGTTAGATGAATATAAGTTGAACATTGTAAGCACTCCTATCGGTGTTAAATGATTTATCTCAACCCTCTAATTGCCTCTTTTTCTGGACAGCTTGGTCTGTTAAAAGAAGTAGACTAATTACTTCTGGCACGATCAACAAGTAATAAAGCTATGTTATGGGGAAGGAGGGGTGGTGGACAAAAACAGTTACGTTAATGACAGTGACAGACTGCAAATATATGTAATTTTGTATTATCGCCATAGATGCACTTTACATTATCTAAAACATTGTGTATCATAAACAGCAACTTTATTCTCACATGTAGTTTCCACTGGAAGCTAATGTAAAGATTGACAATAACTGAGAACAACCGGGAGGGAGTCTGGGACAGTGCTGTCACCCAAAACAGGAAGTGCCTGATCATCGACCTTCATTACAGAATTGCAAGTTATTTTTATGTACGTTGCAGACTTGGATATATTGGAAATTACTTTTCAAATTACATTAACATGTTAAGGCTTAAATGAGACTGTTGTGGTTGGGTTTGCATATACTTTTGATATTGCTTATAAAACATTGCTGTAAGGACCCAATACATTACTATACTGCATTCAGTAGATTCTAAAAACTTGAATGTCATTAGTTAGGTTAAATAATGCACAAAGCCTCTTTTTCAGGACAAGATACGCTTTTGTTGTGGCTGTCTACTGTCACAATAAATAAATGTGTAGCTCGTTGGGATCTGCTGGAGTCAGCAGGGGGCATTGCAAGACTCAGAATTTTCGTCCTGAAAACACAATGAGCCCAAAGTCTCTTATTAATAACAGGTTCATTCGTCGTCACAGGATTGTAGTGTCGTTATGCAGTGGCCTTTCAGGATAAACCAGATAGGGAACAGGGACGTCTCACAGGGATGGGGGCGGTTAATCGCACTTAAATGAAGCACAAAGCTCCAGGGAGATTTTGCTTGTAATGAAAAGAATAGACTGGAGAGACACACTTCAAGAAACAAGTGACTTGCTGTTTTCTAATTACAATGTAGGACACATACGCATTATGTCTGCGTACATTTATATTGGATTGCTACATCTGTGTATGATGCAGGGTGAACTCGGCATTAGACAGCCAGGCAGGGGTAATGCATGTCAATTTACCATGTGTCCTATAGGATTTTTGGGGCTGCTTGGTAGATTGCTGCTTGTTTATATGCACTTCACTTTGACCTATGTGGGATTGTATAAATAATCCTCTTTTAATAAAGTAAATAATAAAATATGCATGTTTTGATTCTATAGGGACTGCTGGATATTTATGACGCCCTCAACCTTTGTCAGTTTAGTAACCACTTCAATACTGAATATCACATAGCATTAAGCTCCATCATGCATGAAAAACAGCATTCAAAAAGGACTTTGCTATGTTATTTCCATTTAGACGCACAAAGAAAGGTTGATGTACTAAATGCAGCTAGGCTGTTCACTTTGCAAGGGAATGTTCTCTAGTTAGCTTAGTGAATGTGGTGAAAATTCACTTTGCAAAGAATGCCCAAGGAAAAACTAAATAGTATTTTTTGCTTCCACTTAATTGAAAGATGTTTTAGTCATATATGACATTGGGATTACGTTCACCAAGCTCAATGTTTGTTGACAGCTCTGCCTATTCTGGATTGATTTCCAGCACAGGTAACAACTACATGGCTTAAAGGTCATTATGGTTAAATCTGATGTATCATTTGCTTTTATATACAGCTTACAGGCTGCCATTATGGCATTAATGAGGCATGAGGCACTAGTGCACAGAGTGACTCCTGATTCAATGATGTCACTGACTTTTTAATTACAAGTTGCTTTAGTAAAAGGTATAATTTAGGTGACAATGTTCCAGCTTAAACATAGAGGTCTAGAAATACACAGTGTCTATAGAGAGTATCGATACATTTAATTCCTAATATAATAACATGTCTTTCCTCCCATGATTACTGTCACATCATCAGATGGGGTTGTAGGAAGTGAGGCTAGTTAACACATCTAATTTTTCCCACGCAAATTGAAATCACAGACTGTAAACTTATAACACAGATGTCAAAAAAGAAGATGATTAAATAGTCATAAGAATATCACTAGGAGAAAGCTTGAGTCGCTCATCAATCAGCCTATTTCAAAGACAGCATATATAGTGAGAGCAATCGTATGTTTCTCATCAATATCCCTGCGTTATAGTGTGTGTATGTGTATGTATATATATATATATATATATAGGCTATAATGATCTTTATTTGCTGTAACAATCATTATGTCCAGCAATGAGAGCCAATGCAAGCTGAAATGATAGCAAATAACATTTAGGGGCTGATGTATAAACGTTCCACCCAGCTGTGTGCTGATAGGAACTTCTTATGCTCCTGAGTTCCATCTAATGGCCAAAATGTTGTGCGGACAGATTTTCCCAGCTATATGCAACATTTATACATGAGCTCCTTTGCAGATTTAGCAGATAGTTAATTCATATTGTGAAATAAGATTGTTTTCACAAAGCACTAAAAATAATAATAACTTTAACTTTTAGTCATTTAATGCACATTGGAGTATTAATTGGATACATAGTGCACGCTTCCTCTACTCTCCTACCACAGAAGTCCTTGAGAAGATAAAATAATTAGCTTTGAAATGTGTGCAAGGAGTACACTGACTATTTTATAGTGTTGGCTATATTCCATAATGCTTGTGCTGAATAAAAAGAGCCCTGCTACCACTAAACATAGATTTATTTTTACCATCAGTATAAATCATTAAAATAATTGTCCTAATAGAACATTGACTTACACTTCACCATAACCATGTAGACATCAATGGTGCAGACGGGTGGCTGAGGAAGCCTCTCTCCTTTCTCTAGGAGATCAGGGATTTCTCGAGTTGGAATTCCATCATAAGGCTTTCCTCCAAAGGTCATCAGCTCCCATATAGTGACCCCTGAAAGTAATAGATCATCGTTAGAGAGGTGTAATATTACCCTGTTATTGGTGGTTTTGCATGCATGTATTTTTCTATTTGAGTAAAAAGAAAACTACCATCAATATAGTGGTATTAATGTGACCCTCCTAAAAATGTTCAATGTTTTTAATTCCCTGTTGGATCAAAGCATCCAATAGTAAGTCCTGACATGCAGCAGCAACAAAAGACATCAGGCTGGACCTTTGTACCACTTGATCTATACAGCTGGGCTACCAACGCCTACCAAACCATCTGCTTATTAAATGGTACAAGTGGCACTAAGAGGCTGTGTTGGAGCAACCATAATTTAAATCACTCTCTTTATATTTAGTATGTAAAGGATTACCTGGATCTGGTACGGGGATTAAGCCCAAGCAACCTTTAAAATGTGACATTTCTTAAATCAAATGGTTTATTTCTTTAATGCTTTATTTGGTGGACTATAATAAATAGATATTTGTGAATTAGGATGGACAGTCTTCACTCCTGCATTAGCATTTTATGCTCACAAATGCACTGAAAAATGTTCTTCTCGTAGCTAACAGTACAAGTACAGTACACTTGTTGAAGGTATTATATTTTAACTCATATCAAGTGTTCTTCATCTACTGCTTGTTCTAAAATGAAATACAACCTACTCTGAATCTTGCAACCTAGCAGAAATCACTAGTTATCATGTGCCATAAGACGATTTAAGATGATTTAGCAAGAACACTTGCCATAACTCCAGACATCACTCTGATGGGTGAACTTCCTGTAGTGAATACATTCCAGGGCCATCCACTTCACCGGCATCTAAATATAGAAGAAGAAGATAGTACGTCTATACAGATGGAATGCAGTAACTGAAAGAAAGTCTGGTATTTATTTAAAAAAAAGTGTTTTTCATCAGACTAGTCCTCCAACTAGACTATTATAATAATTAGGACAGCATGTGCATCTCTGTTTGATTACAATGAGCAATAGGTTCAGGTACAAAACACTAATTCATGTAGTTGTAAAATTAGAAACATCTAAAACAAAAGGAAGACATGATAACTACTGTTAAATACTATGCGGAACAATAAATAAAGTTAAAAAAAACCACTAATTATACAAGATCCTCTAAATTTTAAAGACTGGAATCCATGGATCTTGTATCATTGACAATTAATAAATAGGGCAAAGAGCAATTTGCCATGTGTTGCAGCCCATAGCATACTTCAGGGTATTGTCTACGGGGTAAATAAACCAATTGCCACTACATAAGTTTTTATAATTCTATACCATAATTTTAGACTCAAATATCACAACCCTCAGTTCTCACAGGCCAAAAATATAAAAAGAAATAAATTACTAAAAACAGATCAATTAAAGCTGACCTTGATCACATTCTACAGATTACCAATAACCACACTTTTTCAGTAAATACTTAAAAATTAGGCTACCTATTTCTTTCCTATTTAACATTTATATGCTTCGAATCCTAGGCCTACACACTTTCTGTGCACAAAGGGGTTCCACTGTTACATTTTTAAGGTATTCAATTTAATGAAGAATGCAACAGAAGGAATGGGAACATCCTATGGTGGGCAGCAATATTCAAAGCTTTAGGGTGAGCAGAAACGGAGCCAAAAAATATGGATGGTAGATCTTGCTGTAAAGACCCATAGATATTTAAGAAGTCAGTAGTGGAGCCAACCTACCAGAACCCATCTACAACTAAAATGCTAGTTTTGGGTAGAATCAGGAGAATTGATATACCCTGGCACCCAGAACACGTGCCTCTAGGTCTTCTGCTGAGTGTCCTAGGTGTTTGCAATAATTGTTGCCATTGGTATGATCCTGCAGACAAACATATTTCAATCTTAGACATCCTTTCCTGCCTACATTTAAAGCTACATTTCCCCTCACAATTCTATAGAATTATGTTAGGTAGAAAATAAGAGGATCTTGCATTTCTATTTGTGCATCAATCAGTTGTAGATCCTCCAGATCATATCTGAATTCATGTGACACTGTCCTTCCTTCTGGAGGGTGGCTACGTTTGTTCCCCGCGGTCCCTGGGTGTAAAGTAGCTACCGCTCCATGATCACTCCCATGATGGACTACAGTCTCACGTTTAATTTACTAATTTGAATTGAGATGGTAGCCCATCACGGGAGTGAGCTTGGAGCTGTGGCTACTTTGCAACACACATAGGGACCATGGGGAACAAAAGTAGCCACCCTCCAGAAGGTAGGACAGGGTCAGCTAAAAGTCAGAGATGATTTTAGGAGCTACAGCTGAGTGATACACAAATAAAATACATTTATGTTAATAGTGAAGGTACTTGAATGCATTTTTAAGATTTAACTCCTGAGTTTAGTGCCACTTTAATTACCCATCAGAAATTAAATCAAGTGGCTTACTAAAAGTCTTAGTCTCGATCAAACAAATTGTGTGTTAAATTATTCAACTCTGTGATGCTGTCTCTTTAGCTATCCCACTGTGCTCTTGGAATCCCTTTTCATGTATTAAATATTTATTTTTAAAACAAATATATAAAAGCTACTCACTTTTCCCCCATCAGCATTGTATTCCTTTTCATCTCCTTCTAAAAGACGAGCCAGTCCAAAGTCTGTGATCTTTACATGGTTAGGAGATTTTACCAACACATTCCGGGCTGCAAGGTCTCTGTGTACTAAGCGGCGTTCCTCCAGGTACATCATACCCTACCAAGCAAAAAAAAAGCAAGCCTGTAGCTGACCACCATCACAGTTACATTTACAAGATTCTACACAGCTAAAATAACATCTATAATGAAAGTATAGCAAAATATAAAAAGACACCCTTGCAGAGTGGCCTGGTTTCTCAATGTAGTAATATGAAGCTCCAAAGGATTAAGAGCTGTAAATACAGATTTCCTTTTAGTGCCACCTGATATAGTACATTTTGTGCTGCTACAGTTTGGTAGTAGGTTGGTATGGCACACTACAATGAAGTATGTGGCTGGCCATTCTTCAGTCAACCAGACTGTAAATAACTGCTGTTTACAAGAGGTGTGAGTGTATAGTGTACCCTTTGTGTGACTACAAGAAAGCCTGAATCATTTGTTAAGGTGTGCTTGTTCATGGCTATCCTATTTAACCAATAAGCAGTTATACAATTGTAATTCATAGCAACCAGAGATCTGTCTTGATTTTTTTAACTGCACAAAAAAAGTAATCTTATTGTCTGCTTATGTTTACATTGTATTTTTCTTTTCACCAGTTTTAATGGATACCTTCCAGGATTTATTGCTGGCATATAATACACAATCTGACAATTTCATAATATTACAATTCTGCCATTGTACTTCGACCGGGGGCTACAGGAACCTAATCCTCCATATACACATCAGAGAAAAAGTCACAAAAGAAGTCTAATATAGATGTTAAAGTGAATTGTACACATCGATCTATTTATTGAGGTCTTGAGGCAGTCCAATCTGTCCTTATGCATGTGACTTTCTGAGAGATTACCTGATGAGTAATGTGCTTTGCTTTTTAAACCCTTAGAATCAAGGTAAAATATATACTACTTTACTTGAGCTGCTTTCCTGCTCACATGCAAGCAAAACATATACATTAAACAGGGTTTACCTATTGTAAAGATGTAGCATTATAAGGTGTGCTCTGCAGTATGTGACTAACAGTTCAAGAAGATACAGGTGAAGTAAAATGCCAGTAGTGATGTTTTGAATAGGCAGAATGCTGCAGAGACTATTTTCTTTCTGGTTTGGAATTGTATTTGAGGCACTACTATAAAGACCTCCCTAAAGGAGTTCCTGACTCTACCCCCTCCAAGAATGGGGGTCTTACGCCTCTTCTTGCATTGGTTAAAGCACCATTATCCGATGATGACACACAAAAGAAGCACAGCTCCTCCACAGCTCAGTAAAGGAATGAGACAGGTGCCTGCCACTGGGAGCATGCCCCCACTCCAATATGAGCCCATACAAACAGAAAAAAAGCTGGGATAGTTTATTGAAACTTGTACCACATCACTGGTGTGTCCCCCAAGGCCCCTCTGATGCATTTCACCCAATCACGGGCTTAATCATAGAGATATCATATCTCTATGATTAAGCCTTTAAGCCTGTGATTGGGTGAAACGCGTCATAGAAGGGTGGACCTTGGGGGAGGGGAGGCGACCAGTAATGTGGTATAAGCTTAAATAAACTATCCCAGTGGAATCTGGTGTGTGGCCAGGTTCTTTTCTGTTTGTATGGGTTCCGTTATCCAACTGCATTCTCTGTAATGTACAATAAAAAAAAATATTTATGAAATAAAAGAGGCTAGTTGGTGGTGTATACCCTGTTGGCATATAACCAGGATCTACCTAGAACAATATAGTTTTGGATGGATTGACCCAAAGTGAAGGATTCATTTTTAGTTAAAATAATAAGGAAAAACAAGAATGCCGATCCCTGCATCCTATCCCTATAGTAACACACCACATCCCTTCTGTAAACAGCAAAGGGGCCGCTAAGCCTATGTTGTATGCAATGTTCCCGCAGAACGAAGTCCATTCATAAAAGTACAATGGTACCCTAGAGAATCATTGCATTTTATGGCTGTGCCCCAATGGCAGATTTCACTATCTAGAAATTATAGCTCCAGGTTTCAGTAAACACCCAGGAGATGTGCAGTTTTCCTGGAATCAACTTTAAAGCGTGCTTCACGTTAATTTGCATTAACGTCTGCCAAATTGCATCTGTATGATCTCCAATATGCTAGAGTTTAAGTAAGATTCTGTGTAATACAATCTGAAGTGTCCCACTTTGGCCATTTATAATGCTGGAATGTAGAGTATGCAGCTGTAAAACGCAGGTAAGTAAATAATTGCCCCATACTTGCTAGAGAGTGTTCATTTTGCATAAACAGCCTCAATGCACAGAGTTAATTAATGGCACAGTCTCCCATGGCAATCCTCCAATTCTTCTTTTCTTCCTATTAATATTGTACACTCGGATGTTAAGACTGTTAGACAAGATCCATGCTTGGTGTCTGTATCCTGAGTACATTCATTTTGTTGTGAGCTGTTTGCTATTAATGAACCATCCAGGTGTCTTGACAGATAAGCCAACAATACCTCAATGCATGTCTCGCGTTCTCCCCAAAGTATTTCTCAGCTCTGCAGTTCCCAGACTTGTTCTATCACAGAGTCGGAAACGTACATGATATCTAGTTATGGTAACATCCCACACAGCTTGAGACTTTCATCCCTCAGTCATAACTTTTACATTTGGGTTATGCTACAGTTATCTAAATACATCCAGCCATGTCAGTCTTTTGTTCACTGACTCATCTGTTTCCCTATGAATGTGCAAATAATAACTCATCTTTTCCTGTGCAAGGAAAAATATTTCTCCCTACTGATGCCTGGGTTAATTAAAGCATTAGACTCCTCGAAACTGATATTTCAGCTGTGGCAGAAGCTGAAGCTAAAGTAGTAAAACAACATCCATTGGCTTATTTAAAGTAAACTTGTGCATAGAGGAAAATGGGCAAGATTCAAGCTGGCACAAACCAATGGGACTGGTGATCACTCCATCAATGCTAGGAACCACAGGGCTGCCCTCTCAACCACTGGAATCTTGATGAAATGCAACAAAACACAGAGCAGACGCCACCTCCTATTGCAGTATGTTTATTGACTAAATGATGAAATAAGCGTAAAAAGGTTCTACACGTTATTTCTAAAGGAAACCCGGCATATCAATAACAGAGTCCGATGGTCCAAGAACGCTGTATAGCGGTAGGTGCACCCCAACATAGGGGGGCCGTGCTAACGCATTTTTGTGTTTTTTGTGGTAACTTCCTCAGAGCAAGACCATCAAGATCATGACCTTTGGGGGTAACCAACCCCTTCCTCAGCAAGACCTTGAAGGTCTTGCTCTGAGGAAGGGATTATTTACCCCAAACCGTGTTAGCACTGCCCCCCCAATGTTGGGGTGCACCTACCACTATACAGCGTTCTTGGACCATCGGGCTCTGTTATTGATATGCCTGCTTTCCTTTTATATATTGGTCTGTCTAGAGTTTTAACCGATTAGTCTCATGATGACAGAATGTTGAGATGTAGAGCTCTGGAGTGGATTGGGAAAGGAGGCTACCATGAGTTCCAGAACTCACATGCAAAATCTTAGGGTTGGACAGCTCCTGGATTGCAATGTCTGAATGAGAGATTTAGAAGTTTTTTTTTAAAGAAGAAGAACTCTGCCTTAAGCTGTATCTAGTGTAAGACCCACATACTCTAGTCATTGGGTCAGTTCAGTGCTGTTTTTTGAAGGTTCAGGATCCAATCAAACATTTTTGAGGGTCTGGACTGTCCAAAGCATATTGTTGGCCAGGATCTGTGCTGACTGTTCCTACAAGAGGAGATTATCCATACATATATCTATAGGGATGCCCTGTGAGTGGAAAAAGGCTAATACAGGGGTCAGAACATTGGTGTGCATGCAGGGTACTAATGGCAGCCCAAACGATAGGGCTACAAAACTGGCCATGTTAAGCAGTTATAGTAAAACGGAGGTAGCAGTGATGTGCTGGAAAGAGAGGAACATGCAAGTACACATCTTTGATGTCCACAGCGGCCAGAATGTCTCCCTGATGAAGGGTGGAAGAATCCTTTCCATGTTGAGGCTCAGGCTTCTTTTTCTGGGGTTATTGAACATTTTTTACCTCCAGTGATATCCTTCTCCTTACCTTTTAAAAAATGATTGCACAATCATTGGTGTCGCTTTAGCCCCTGCCCCCCAAAAAAAACAAAAATAAAACAATACTTCAATTATTGGTGTGGCTGTGATTGGTTCACATCTATCACAAGGTACAAAGCAATTTTGATTGGCTATGTACATGTGACTGTGATCTGAGCTGTCCAATGACAGCCTAGACAACCATTCACAGGCACTTGCCAACTCAAGTGTGCTTTCTGAAGTGTCATTAATAAACGGCTCTCGAAAAACATATGTCCACCTTCCCAACAGTTTTTTGCAATACAGTGGTACAGGCTAAGTAGTTTGTATTATGGTTAAAAAGTAATGGTATGCTGGAGTACTAGCAATTATGTCATAATAGGAAATATTATTAGCTCTTTATGATTATAGCTGCTTGAACTCTTTTTTTTTTTTCTATTGACTACTACACCACATTTTTAGCACTTGATTGAAGGCGTTGGAGGGCTTAGAATTTACACTGAGTCACTGAAATCTGAGAAGATGAAAATTAGTGGTGATCTATTAAGGACAGAGTGGTTAGCCGGAAGATGTATGTTAAAAGTTAATTCCCTGCACTGTACCTCCCTTCTTTGGCAACTTCTGTCCACAACACTGTGTACTGTCTATGCTTATAGCTCTTCTGCTACCTGTCCTTGATTTAGACATTTAGGACAAATGATAGTAGGCAGGTTGCCGGGAGGGCCCCATCAAAGTTTAGCTATGAGGACTCATTATCTGTAGTTACACCCTGGATTACTGATGCTATTTTTCTAATGTTACATATTGCATGAAGTGGTTAAAAGATTTGTATTAACTACAATTAGCAAAAATATATTAATTTGCACTGAGCTATGGAGAAGAAAAGTCACCCAAAAAATGACTGACTCAATAGACCAATTATCTTCTCTTTATTGCAGTTAAGGTGAAAGGATAATGAGTAGGTTTCTAGTTAATGCACATGTACAGGGAGCA